AACACTGTTTACAATGGAATGAAACACTACCTACCCCTCCATCCTTTTCAAAATCTCTGCTGTGCTTCCGCACATGTCGCAACCACTGTGCCAATCTATTTTCACAATTTGGATGTCTAAATAAAGTAGAATGGGGTAAATGTGAAACTATTATGATGAATGAAATTGTGTTAAACCTTTCCTCTAAACCTCCTAGTGGAGCAATATGTTTTGATTTTATGCCCTTGTTGTCAGCATAGAGGGATCAGTGTGCAAAACGAGTATGACTTTGGGGTGCTGTCATGGAATTAGGGAAGACTAGGTACCCATTAACAGCATCTGTTAACTAGGAATAATTGCAAGTGGCCTGTGGGTTTAGTTGCTGTGTTGAATAAATGTAGCTTCCTAATTGTTGTTGTTAAGTGCCGCCTAGTCGCAGGCGACTCATAGAGACCCTGTGAAGGAGAGTCTTCAACGCTGGGGTGTCTCTCATCCTCTCTCCAGGTTCATAGGGTTTCCGGAGGCAAACTATTACGGAAGTAGATGCCACTCCTCCTTCCAAAGCTTCCTAATAGGAGGTCTAATTGCTGCATATGGAATTTTCCATTTCTTCTGAGATAGTTTTGTGGATACTTTCCACATTCAGGTGATTTTCCTTTGGTGAAATCTACCTACAACAGAGGGACAAATGGACGAAGATGGGACGGGTAAGGGTGTGCTGTCATATTTCCAAATGACCACAAGATGGGAGTGTTTTAAAACCTTACTCTGATTTTCTAATCATTAAACTTCTATGGTCATATGGTGATGGAAATTCACTGGAACCCAGAAAAATAAACACAATCCTGTGGCTGCTTTTGAAATTTGATTCATGTGAGATTGTCAATGAGGATATTACAGCAAAAGAATAAGAGCTGTTGACTTGCAACTGACAGGTGCTGTGTTTGAATATAGGCTTGGACTGTGAAGTGGACCTGGAAATAAGGTTCAGTATTTTCAATGAACTAGGTTGGTTGGTTTATTTTTCTTCTTCTTCCCTTTCATGGCTAAGCCCTCTGAAAAGCCTCACTCCCTAAATTAGCTTCCTCATGCTTTACTACCCTCTTAACCTCTGACTCCTGTGTAGAAATTCAATGAATGTTTAGCTTTGGTGTATGTTTGAGATTGCAACAACATTCTGCATGGTCTCTGGTGCCTCAGACAAACAACAGCAGGTGTGTTTGAAACATTCTGGGACAAGAATGACAGGCATAGGGATTCTAGTGACAATTGGTATAACTCATATAAATAGTGAGGCTGAAAGAGCAGTGGCAGTGATGGCACCTTACTGATGAACAGTGAAGTGTGGATCCTTGCTGATGTGCAAAACCAGTTTATTTGGAAAGAAATCTGTTGCCAATAGATGATGAGTTTGGCTATAATTTATAATGCTTTATTTAATACTTTTAACCACTCAGATACAATAATCAAAGAAAGGAAGGACAGGGATAGGGAGTTTGGTCAGAGGCGACAGACTGGTGGGCAGTGCAGGCTCCTGCAACTGAGGTAGCAAGTCTAGGAGACCAGGCAAAGCTTTCTCACCCTTCCAACCACTGTTGAAACCTGTGATTGCAATCACACTTCACTGGGGACTTAATGGCCCCAAATTTCTTTTGGATGGTATATGTGCATGTGGACTAGTGTACAGAGAACATGTAACAGGCTGTGGAATTCAATACTTCACATCATTGCTTTCTTGGTTGGGACTCTCTGTCTGTACCCCATAATCCCTCTACTCGGGGGAATCTTCTTACTCCCCCACGCTGCAAGTGCTGACAGGTATGATGGACTCTAACCTCACTTTATTTCTCTCTTCTTAATTCTTTCCAACCTTGGCTCACAGAATCCTAGAACAATAGAATAATAGAATCTTTATCATAAAGTTCAATCCCTGATTTAACATAAAGAGAACCCCTTTCCCACCATTGCCTACCTAACTCACCAAAATATGAGCTCTTTTTTTTTAGTTCGACGTCTCAAAGTTCTATGTTTACAGTCCTAGAGATTTTACAGGCTAAATTTCAATTATATGTTACTGTGTACCTTTGAGTTAGAGCTGACCCATAGCTGATCCTCCAGCTGGTTTTCAGAGGCAGACAATTGCATGGGAGGGGATTGCTCCTCTTCTGTGGAAAAAAAATTAAAAGGTCAACTGACAGTGTTGGCCAGGAATTGAACCCAGGTCAACTGCTTGGAAGGCAGCTATGCTCCTCACTGTACCACTGAAATTGCATGTCGACTTGCTTATATAGTCTTTGATGTTTCAGTTCTTTACTTCTGGTTTTGCTCAGCTTTGTTTTCTGTGGCTGTATTAACTTCCTGCCTAGATGGTTAACCTCTGTGTGTTATGTGCCATAACTTCTCAGACTTTAATGTGCATATGAATCCCTAGGATCTTTTGTGAAAATGAAGATTCAGGTTCAAAAGGTCTGGGGTAGGCCCTGAGAGGACATTTCTTTGGTAATGCTGATGCTGTCAACCTGGGGACCTCACTTTGAGTCTCAGATTTCTATAGCCACAAAATGAGTGTAGCACCTGGAAGTTAACCCATTGCTGCATTGGCTCAGAAACCTTGTGGGAGTGCATTTTCACTGTTGAACATTGATTTTCCTATCTACAGCACGTTAAAGGGATAATACTAGTTTGTCGTTGTTACAGGGAGGCAGTGTAGTGTGGCAGGTAAAACACGGGCTTTGCGCCACTCAAAATCAAAAGCTAACATTTACTGAGGACTTACTGTGTACTGAGCATTGTGTACTTGGCGCTGTGAAAAGCACTTTACATGCATTACTAGATTCAGTCTCTTGAAAGAAAAACATTCCTTAAAAAGGAAACAAAAAACTCATTGTTACACATTTAGATTTTCACACAATAAGTATCAGTCATTTAACTCACTGAACTTACTTTCTTCAACTGTTAGACTGATGGCTGAGTGGGAACTGACCATAGCTGATCCTCTGTTGGCTTTCTGAGGGTGTGTTTCTCCTTCAGAACCGTTGGTGGATTTGAAATGTTAACCTTTGATTTAGCATCTCAGCTCCCTGTAGACGATGCCACCAGAACTCCCTATTAGAGAAGTAACAGGCTACAGTTCAGAAACACACAGAAGACAATTCTTTCATCAAGACAATTTCTTCTCAGGCATACTATCAGCAAGGTCTGCCTCAGATCATAGGCCTCACAGTTTCAGGATTTGCCCCGAGCTCGGGCAAAAAGCTCTTTTTACAAAAGCTCTTTTACAAAGCTCTTTTAGTTTTGACTACTCTGTGCCCCTCCCCCCGTCCCTTCAGCCATCAGACCAGGCACTGGTCTGTGGAGTGGTGGATCTGGCTGAGCTCTTGTCACACCGCTCTCTGGTTCTCTGTCACCTCTACTGCTGCTGACACTGCTGCCGTTGCCACTGGCCATGCCCATCCCGTGTTGGTCTCAGTGTGTGTCTAGGGCAGAAATCTCTGGCTTCAAGCGTGCACGGCACTTTCTGCTTCTTTCTTGATAGTAATGCTGTTGTTATGGGTCGTCGAGTCAGGACTGACTCATAGTTGACCCTCCAGCAAGTTTTCAAAGGCTGTGAATCACACAAGAAGAGATTGTCCATCATTCTCCAGCTACTTGCACTTGGTTTTGCAGTGCAGCCTCTTACCCACTAGGTGCCCAGAGCTCCCTGGGGGTAATGAGATTATCGTTTTCTCCCTCTGAACCTCTTTAGATCAAACTGAAGGGTGGCAAAGGTGACCACCTCCCACTTGGGTGGTCTGCACATCATATTTGCATATTCCTAGCCTAAAAGTGCTATTTATCTTATTTACATTATTCTCAAGCTATCCAATCCCTCTGGTGGGCCCCAAACATTTTACAGTCCTACCAAACCACGTGGTGAGAGTTATACTCATAATGGCTAGGAAAGCTCAGGAATAAGAAATTTGGGCAAACTAATTTTTCTTGGGCCTTTTAAAAAATTGGGATTTGAGTGAAAGTTTACAGAGCAAATTGGCTTTCCATCCCACTACTTACACACATTTGTTTTATGACATCCATTAAAACATCCACATTATAAAGTTTGGGGTTTTTTTACTTAGTTCATCTTTACATCCACAGTTGAGAGTCCTTTTTTATTAAATATCTATGGAGGAAGCATTTTGTTGATTAAAAAATTGTATTTTTAGTTTCATAAGGAAAATTCATACTTAAACTTCTATTTCTGAGCCAGTTATTTCCTTGAGTTTCTGTGTACCTTTGTGAGTATGTGAGTTTGTACATGACACAGATGGGACTATCATGCATTGGAATTGACTTCAGAGCAACTGGTGGTGGTGAATGTGTTGGAGACCAGGTATACCTTTAAACAGAGAAGTCTAAAAAGTCTTCCTGGAGGAGTGATCTTCTGACCTGGGGCCTGAACCGAGCAAGTGTGAACCCTACAAAGTGGGTGCTAAAGAGTTGATCAGTCTGCCCAGAGTGGGTACCAAACCTTTATTGTTGTTGTTGTGTACCATTGAACCAAAACCGACCTATAGTTGACCCTCCAGCAGGTTTTCAGAGGCTGTAATTCACATGGGAGGAGATTGCCCATTTTTATCCTGCTGAGCAGCTGTTGGATTTGTACTTTGCACCTTTGCACTGGCAGCACAGTTCCTTACCACTAAGCCACCAGAGCTCCCTGACATTTCTTTATCCAACATATTCAACAGAAAGTGAGGCTATAGTTTCCCTTTGTAGAGACTTTTCAGAGGAGAGGAAGTTCTTCCAGTATGAAAGACAGAGGTCAGGGCAGTCAATTTTTCACAAATTCTTCAAGCTTTATCTATTCACAGTTCTTATCTGTCATCTCAAGCATGAATTTCAGAAGAATAATCTTTATAAAAGTGTCTTTAAACATGTGAGTTTTAATATTAATAAAGAGCTTTATTAATTGATGGTTGTTGCTTTCCAAGCAAGTCTGGTTGTATATCAGGGGTCTCAATAACCTTTTGTTTCTAATTTAGAAACTGGATGAAGACATGCATCAAAAGATTGCAAGAGAAATGAACCTGTCTGAAACGGCTTTTATCCGAAAACTACACCCAACTGACAACTTCACTGAAAGTAAATGGAGCATTTTCAACATTCGTGAATAGCACCAAAGCTGCACTTTTAGATAAAGGAGTGATATTGAAGGGGCATATCCTATTTGTTTGATTGTGGATAGAGGGCAAATTCTGACATGGTCTTTAGTTTCTGGTATTTGTTGATTTGACAATTTCAGTTTCAGCCCCAGCACTCGGAAGCCCTACGATACTTAGTTAGCCTTGTTGTGTCTGGGTTTTCCCCTCAACTTTTTTGAGATAATTTTTATTTTATATTGGTTTGCTTACAAAGTTCATATGCATTGTGTTTCATACTATTCCTCACTCACATTGTGTTTCACACAATCGTTCCCGTGCATTATGTTTTATAAAACAAATCACCATTGCACCTTGCCTATCATTACTCTTATCAGGTCCTTGTCTGATTTTTCCCATTTGCTTCTCCCCCTCTCTTCACCCACCAAACTGTGGTTTTGCCCCTATCCATCCTCACCCTTCCATTCCCATCCTCTCCCACTTGATTCCCCATACATGTTTTACTAGTTATCCTTCTATTTTTACAATAATGGTCTTATGCAGTATTTGTCCTTATGAGGCTGAGTTAGTTCACTCAGCATAATGCTCTGCAGTCTCTCCCCAAGTTATGTAGTATTTTTCGAAATCATTGCTCCTGAGTGCTGCATAGTATTCTATTGTGAGAAGGTACCATAATTTCTTAATCCATTCAATTGTGGTTGAACATTTGGTCTGTTTCCACATACTTGCGATGGCTAATAATGCTACTTATGAACATTGGTGTACAAATCTCTGTTTGTGTCTCAATCCTAATTTCCTCAATAAAATGGGTTGATTCAGTGACTGGGGTGATGGGGGTAGGTGTATCAGAGACAATAAAATTGGCACAGGATAGAGCAGGGTTTAGGGTGTTATACATAGGGTTTCTATGAGAAGACTCGACAGCAAATAACAATAACAAATTCCTAATAGTGGAATAGCTGGGTCATACGGAGTTCCTATTTTGAACTTTTTTTTTCCTATGTTGAACTTTTTGAGGAAACACCCAACTGCCTTCCAGAATGGTTGTACCATTTTACAATCCCACCAACAGTGTAAGAATGTTCCCACCTCTTCACATCCTCTCCAACATTTACTGCTTGCTGTCCTGCTAAACTTTACCAATGCTCCTGGAGTGAAATGATATCTTATTGTGGTTTTGATTTGCGTCTTTCTTATTGCTAGTGATTTTGAGCATTTCTTCAATTATCTGTTACTAGTCTAGTTTTTACACCTCCTTTCCCGCCATATTTAAGCTGTTACTAATGCTTGTGAAATGACTAGGAAAGACTAAGAAGATGAAAAGTTTACAACCAGCTAGCATGGCATCATCTCCCTGTCTTTGTGTTCTCCTCTCCACAGGTTCCTGTTTTGGATTACGGTGGTTCACTCCGGCGAGTGAGGTCCCACTCTGTGGCCACGCCACGCTGGCTTCTGCAGCTGTCCTATTTCACAAAATAAGTAAAGTTATTTTCTTTTCTGGACCTTTCAGTTAGAAAATAGCAAATATATTTGTAAATCCTTAGTCTTTCTGAGGAGCCAAGTGACTGGTTTAAGACTCTGCAGAGTTTATTTCATGTAGTTCACGGTGCAGAAACAGAAGAGAGTGAACAATAGCAACATGTCAGTATTTCTGAGTAGATTCTGGGTGTCATGAAAAAGCCATAATCCCAGATGCCTAGAACACAATTATATTTCAAACAGGGGCTCTGTCTTTGTGACAAACATGGCAAAGGAGCATGTTGTTGTTAAGTGCCACCACATTGATTACAACTCATAGTGATCCCAGGAAACACAGATCTGAACTTTGTGCCATTTTCACAATCTCTATCATGCTCAAGCCCATTGTTGTAACCACAGTGTCAATCCAACTTGTTGAGGGTCCTCCTGTTTTTCTCTGATTACTCCATTCCCAGAGTGATGTCTTTATTTCCAAGGATTGACCCCCTCCTGACCACCTGCCCAAAGTATGTGAGGTGAAGTTTCACCATCTTTGCTTCCAAGGAGCACTCTGGCTGCATTTCCCCCAAAACATACTGGTTTGTTCTTTTGGCAGGTCTTGGGCTAGCCAGGACTCTTTTCCAGCACCACAACTCAAAGACATTAATTTTTCTTCTGTTATCTTTATTCATTGTCCAGCTCTCTTATGTATAGTAGGTAATTGAGAAGATTATGGCTTGAATCAGGCACACCTTTGTCTTCAAACTGACATCATTGCTCTCCATCATTTTGAAGAGGTCTCTAACAGTGGACTTGCCCTATGCAATACATTTTCTGATTTCTTGACTGCTGGTACTCTAGTCACCAGTAGTCCTTAAAGCACTCACCTGAGAGCTGTCAGCCCCCAGTACTCCTGCAGCAGGGTCAGATATGAGACTAGAATAAAGCAAGCAAGAGTTTAGCTTGGCATATGAGAGGAATGCTTCATTAAAATGTGCATTTTAAGGGACACACAGGCATAGTAGTTAACCTGAATTGAGGACCATTCCCAAACTGAGCCACTCTTTAGTTTAATGATTCTGAAGTTTAGGAAAGCATTCCTTCTACCCCCATCTACCAAGACTTAGGGTAGAAATAAATATAGAGGAAATAAGGTATGAAAAATAAGCTTTTAAATAACAATGTTTTATATTACAAATTTTTGGTGCAGAATTTATATTTTATACTAAAGACTCTTAGGGAACTCTGATGACGTAGTGGTAAGGAGCTGTGCTCTCAGCCGACAGGCACATGGTTCACATTCCACCAGCTGCTCTGCGGGAGAAAGGTGGACAATCTCTTCTCATGTGTGATTTACTGCCTCTGAAAACCCTCAGGAAGGTCAGTTATGGGTCAGTTCCAACTTAACGTACATAACAAAAACTCGAACTCACCACTGTCCAATCCTTTATTACTCATAGCAACCTTCCATTGGGTTTCTGAGGCGGTAATTCTTAGATTGTCCATCTTCCCACACACACACCCCTAGAAACTGGTGAGTTTGAACTACCGGAGAGGTGCTATCTTTGGGTCAACAACTCCCTATGGAATAGGACCTATGGTTTATTTATTTTAAATATATATTGTTGTGTGCCTTTGAGTCAGAACCAACCCCTTCCAGTGGGTTTTCAGAGGCAGTAAATCACACGGGAGGGGATTGCCGCCCATTTTTCTTCTAAGGAGCCCTGGCGGATTCAAACAGCACGCCTTTGGGATTGCATCACAGCTTCTTACCACTAGGCGCCAGAGCTCCCTTTTTATGTATACAAGTGAGTGTGTGTAGGGAGGAATAATGAGAGTTTTTTTAATCTTTAAGATCTTGTTCGGAACTGCAATCCCAGAGGTACAGAGTTTGAATCCACCAGATCCTCTGCTGGAGAAGGAGGGTCAATCTCCTCCTGTACCAGTCAGATTTGATTTGATGGTACACACACTAATAATGATGATAAATAATTAAAAAAATTTTTAAAAAAGATCTTATTATATGTTCCAGAAATTTTAAGAGAGGTTCAAACCACAATTTTTTTTTATTTTATTAAAACTATTAGGTTCACTAAGGTCAGATAAATGGTCCAAGTTGCATTAGTGACATAAAAATATATCAGCATCTGTGGTATCTATTTTAAGTAAAATTTTTACATCTAGGTTGATTTCTTTAGGGCACACTTGATATGTTTACTATCATACTATTCATAATTTATATATTCTATGCCGATAGTTGTAGAGGGGCTTCAGGCCTTTTATTCATAGGGTCGCAGAGTCATGCTTGACTTGAAGGCAATCAGCAACAACAACAACATTGTAATCACATTATACCGTCAGCTAGTAAGATTTACAACTGTGATTATTGTCGGTGGCGATTTAAAAAAATGCATTATAAGAGAGCTCTGGTGGCCTAGTGGCAAGAAGCTGTACTGCAATTCCACAGACGGGCTGTTTGAATCTACCAGATGCTCTGCTGGAGAAGGAAGGACAATCTCCTCCTGTGCCAGTCAGGTCTGACTCGACGGTACACACGTACACACACACACACAAATACAGAGTACATTAAAAACCATTGCAACAGCCCTAACAGCCCCATGAGGTAGGAATAATTGTTTTTGTTAGGTGCCTTCATGTTGACCGAGACTCACAGCTGTGAGTCTTAACTTAGTCACGACTAAGACCCCTGTGAATGAGAAATTGAAAACTTTGTCTCATCTGGTACCATCTCAAGAGCTCCACCATGAGCAAGTCCATTGTTGCAGTCATTGTGTCAATCCATCTTGTTGAGGGTTTTCCTCTTGTTTGATGACTCTGTTTTGTAAGCAAGATTTTATTATTAATCTCATTTTAGAATTGAGGAAGTTGACATCTAAAGAGGTTAAATAATTTAATTGGAAGGCACAGTTTGCAAAACATAAGGAGCTGGGGCATGTAGTTTTGTAGGAGAATGCGCAGTATAATCAGTTATGTTCTTGGTTTTCAAGTTCAAATCTAGAAAGATTTTCTCCATCATAGAACCCAGTAACTTGAACCTGGGTGCCTAGCACAAGAAAGAACCACAGTACAAGAAATCTAAGACAATTTAATATATATATTCTCTTATTTTTGATCCCCTTTTAAAAAAATTTTCTACTTGACAAAATAAGACTCCCTTTTTTTGGCCAGAAAATGTGAATAGCACTTTGACCTTTGTGACACTGAGTGGAGAACTAAAGGCTAGAAGAGCAGAGGATGGCATCATCCTGGACTTGCCTCTTTACCAAGCTCATCCCCAGGTAAGTGTCTTCTAATGAATGCATTGTCATAAATTATGTGCAATTCACAATTTGCCCATTTTAAAATGGTTCTTTATGCTCATCTAGATGATAACATAATTATGATAAAAACAAAAGAGGGGAATATGGGAAACCAATACTAAATATTTGTAATAAACTGAATGCTATTTAAATAAAATAATAAAAAAAAAATAAATAAAACGGTTCTTTATTTCTCCCCCAACTAGGACTCCCAGGAAATAAAAGACTTGATAAAGGTTGGTTACAAAAATTAAACCTGTGCTTATTTGATACGATCATTTGTTATTGTCTAGACACAAATAGTCAGTATGATTGGACCCCAAAACACAGGAACAGTATAAATGTTCCAGCCTAATTGTAGTTGAGTAATAAGCAGTGTATTTCTGCCTTAAATTTTAATAATGAATCTATTTGGAGAAAAGGTTGACCAGTTTTATTGACTTTTACTTGTCAGCATGTTGTTGTGTACCACAGAGCCTCCAGTGGATTTTCAGAGACACTTAATTGCATGGGATGAGATTGCCCGCCTTTCTCCCAGGGATTAGCTAGTGGATTTGAACCATGTTCCTTTGGGATTGCAGCACCACATCTTACTACTAGGCCACCAGGGTTAGGGAGACCTTAATCTAACCTAAGCCTGAGGGTCAGCATTTGTAAAATGGGAACACTGAAGAAAGACCAAAGAAGAATTGATGTTAGTGAAGATTATTGAATCTACCAGAGACTGTTAAAAGAATACATATAAATGTGTCTTAGAGGAAGTGCAGCTAGAGGGCTCATTAGATGCAAAAATTATGGGACTCAATGTCATGTACTTTGGGCATGTTGTCAGGAGTGGCCAGTCCTCTGAAAGGGGAATCATGCTTGGAAAGGTGGAAGCTTAGTGAAGGAGAAGATCCTCAGAGAGGTGGTTTAACATAGTGACTATAAAATGGTTTTAAGTACAGGGGAGATTGTGAGGATGATACAGGCTCAGGCAAAGTTTTAAACTCTCGTACCTGGGTTTGCAAGGAGCTGGAGTTTAATTAAAGGCGCCTAACAACAGCAACAACACATACTTGGGGCACGTGGCCAGGAGAGACTGGTTCTTGGAGAAGGACACAATGCTCGAAAGGGTGGAGGGACAGTGTAGAAGAGGAACATCCCGGATGAGATGGATTGATACAGTGTCTAGGGCAGTAGGGGTTGACGTGTCGGAATTAGTGAGACCGGCTCAGGACAGGGCAGGGTTCAGAGATGCTGTTCATAGAGTCACTGTACATCACAGCTGACTCAATGGCACATAACAACAACAACATACTATATTGGTTGTTTTCTTTAAGCCTCTTGTATAGAGTCAACAAGACCTCGAGGAGGGTCTTTGTATTTAAAAGTTAGTTATTATATTTTGGAGGAACATTCTTCTAAGTAGTACAGCCCTCTTCTGTCAGTATGCTGTTCTGAGGTAACCTGGGTTTGCTGTGATGCTGAACCTTGTGCCATTGGGGTGTCAAATGCCATAATGGTTACCCATGGTGGATAGTGTTTGGTGGAGCTCCCCTTTTAAGACAGGTTTGGAAGCAGGAGTGGCATCCACTTCCTAAACAACACACCTCTGGAAACTCTATCAACTTTGATAAATGACAATTGTTATAGAAAGTCTTCAGACATTTTGTTCATAGGGTCACTATGAGTCATGCTTGACTCGATGACATCAACAACAACACAAAATACTTATTATGAATGTTGTAATTTAGCATATGTTTTAGATGGGAATTAAACTTTAAAACTGAGCACATGCTGTGTAGAATGTTCTGTTACAGCTCCTGGTATCCTATATATATTATTTCCTTTAATCTTTACAAGTTTAAGAGGTGGATATGATGTCCCACCTCTAAAGATAGTAAGTAGATCATAGTGATTCAGAACAGAGGCTCCTGGGTCACTCAGATCTGGGTCAAGACGGTGTGTGTACGTACGTGTGTCCCCGCAGCTCTCTAACTCTCCTTCTGCTCATCTGGGATCTGTGGGAACAATAACCTCCTGAGGAAGTCGTGGATGTAGAGGCAGGGAGTGAGTCCTGTGAGTAGAGGAAAGGACTCTATTTTGAGGTTCACAGAGAGTAAATGAAAGAGCTCCTCAGGAGTCTCTCTGGTGGCCAGAAAGGGCAAACTGTAGGGGATTAGAGACAATGAATGTGCCTGGCATAGGACAGATGATCCTTGGGGGCAGTTCCCGTTGTTGGGAGTCAGGGCTGTTCCTGAGGCATGTTCTGTTTGTTGTCACAGACTGCCATTGGGGACACTCTGGTCCAGGATGTCTGTTATTCACCGGATACCAGGAAGCTCCTCGTCCGGCTCAGTGATACTTATAACAGGTACAGGAGTCCGGCCTCATAAACTCTCAGAAGAGGGCTGAGCCCCGTGGCCAGCTCAGGGCGGTCCAGCCTCCCCTCCAAACCAGCTCCTGGGTTTCTCTCCTGCTGGAGGAGGAAAGTAGGGAGGAAAACCGTGTGTATCGCCTGCTCTTCTCTCCTCCTGCTGAGTGGTTTGGGACGAGCTGCACCTGGCCTGTCTGACAGTCTGTGAAGTCTGCGTATCCTAATCTCTCCATTTATGAACAAGGTCGTTTCTGGAGGGCCTGAAAGTGAACACACAGAATCTGCTGCAAGTTGAAAACTCGGGGAAGGTGAAAGGACTCATCCTCACCCTCAAAGGAGAGCCCTCTGGACAGATGCCAGCATTTGACTTTTACTCAAGATATTTTGCACCGTGGGTTGGTGTGGCTGAAGACCCTGTCACAGGTACGTGATTTTGTGGGTTCAAGGAAGGAGGGTTCCACGCAGCTGTTTCAGCGCCCTTCAAAGGGCAGTTCAAGTTGCTTGGGTTTTGAACTGCTTTCTTTTCTGTCTCCTCCCCATGCCCTTCACTGAGGTCTCCTGAGGAAAACACAAAATGAAAGAAGGCTGTGTCGCAGGACTAAAGCTTAGAGTCAGCAGCTTGGCTTCCATCCTAGTTTTCTAGCTCTTGACCATGGACTTGAGTTACTTAAATTACTTAAGTAACGTAGACATGTTACTTAAGTTTCTTAACTCTTTAGTTTTATTTCCCTCCTCTGTAACAGAGAATACCTTGCGCGATTCTGTTAACACGTATGTTAATTCATGTTATATGTTTGATACATAGTAAACACCTAATAACTGTAGGCTGTTTTTCCTGTCAAACCATCCCCCCCTTTTTTTTTCATCCCCTGGGCATTGTACCCTCTTTTCTTGCTTCTTCCTACCCACTTCTGGTAAACTATTAGCTATTTTAGTATCAGTGAAACTGACTCCCAGAGCCTACGCTTCCAGATTTGCAATTTGCAGATCCAAGATTGATTCCAACAGATCCCCAAGCCTTTTGTTCTTCTTAGTGACAGGCCTGCTATCACTGAATCATCACCTGTGGCATCTCTGATGCCCAGATAAAGTTTGGTGTGCAAAGACTAGATTCCGAGGCTGCAGGTGGGAAGTGGGGACAGGACAGCTGTTCTTTTCCTCTCCTCTCCTGGGCCAGCCCTTCGTGTGGGATGGGATGGGTTTGGAAAGGGGGTGTTGAGGATCTTCCACTGGTTTGAAGCACAAGGTTGAGTTCAAAGACAGGCAGCAATGTCAAGTCACCAACATTCACCCTCTCTGAAAGCAGTGAGCTGAGCAGCAAAAGGGCAAAAGGACAGAAATGCTTGAAGAAAGGGCAAAGTGGAGTGGGTGGAGGCAGGGCCAAACAACCGACTCTGAGGCCCCGAGGCTATGGTTCTGTCAGATGACTCAAGACCTTGCCTTCCTCTCAGAGCTGCAAAACATATAAAATGCAAGGCTCAACAAGTGAGCACGGTTTTAAGTTATTAATTTTAATGTAAATTTATAGAGACTTACGGTTTCCAGTCATTCATTGTTGCACTTTTCTCCCTGCCCACCCCCTTACCTCCCAATTCACTCTTCTCCTTGAAAAGTAAAACTCTTTCATTGTTATGCAATCCCTCCCCCCAAATCCACTCCACTGTGCAGTCTTCATTCTGGACTCCTGTCATGACAATAATACCCAAACATATATCCCTTTTAAACAGTTTTCTCCCTCATCTGTTTCAATGCAGTACACATAATTTCTCCCGTCCTTCTCTGTCTTCCCTCAACCCCGATGTCAGTCCCATTTTACAACAGAGGCCCTATGCAATATTTGTCCTTTTGTCACTGAGATATTTCACTCAACATAATGCCCTCCAAGGTCATCCATTTGGAGAGATCCAGACAATTAAACCCAATCCTTCTCCATGGAGAAGTTGTGTGCCCATTTGGACGTACACAGCTGTTTCCCCATGGAGAGTTTGAGTGGCACAGAGGGCAAGTTTCCCCTGTAATAAGTTTATCTGGAACATAAAGATCTTTGGACATCAATGACTTACTACCCCTTTTCCCCCAGGGACTTAGCAGTGTTTCCAAATGCAAGACCTTCAGTGCAAACCAGGACTGCTGGTCTCCCTATTGGACCTCCATTTAATGCAGGGGGAAATGTAATCTATCTTTCTTCCCCAAAGGCTTTTTGTCAATTGTTAGTTTACATCTTGTTTTTCAGTTTTAAAAGATAGTCCCTAATGTGAATCTAGGGTACAAACATGTGAAGAAATATCTCACTGAATAGAAATTTTGAGATCCAGACAACATCGGCTTGGTGGAGAATTAGACCTTGTTTCAGAGCTCTCATGTACTACAGAGGGAGAATTAACTAGTTTAACTCGAAAGAAGTAGAAACAGCTATGTGATGTCCTTTATCTCTACACCATGGGCAGACAATGAGTTAGTCAACAAGTCTAAGCTGCACTTTAATTCAGCTTCGAGAAAGTGGAAGATGCCTTGGAGACAAAATTTGAAGAAGCTTACCAATGACTTCTGGGTCTACCTTTCCTTTTTTTTTTTTAACATTTTCCTTTTTTTATTTTCCTCTCTGCCCCCTGCCCCAAGTTTGCTTTTTCCTTTGGAAAAAAAAATCATTGTTATACGGACACCTTCTC